AGCAGGAACAAGCTGAACCGGCAGGTACACAGTCCACAGCGAGAAGCTGCACAAACACACACAAAACACAAGCCCGAAAAGAACCAGCACTGCTGGCACCCAGACGCGGCATCGCCAGCCCAAGCGCGAAGCCGCGCCGACAAGCAGCCTAAGGGTCAAGCAATCAAGCAACAAGCAGCAGGAGCATGCAGGAGGAATAACATCCCTTAGACGCGATACCCGGAGGCAGCCGACTGACCACTGTCAGTCGAGACGTCCGCTGCCGCCACAAAGCGGGCGGCCGCGGACGGAGAAAGGGCAGCCGCCGACAAGGAGCCGGCGCTGCCCGGGTGTCCGCCTGTCATGCGCCGTGGGAAGCTTGGAGGATCGGCGTTTGCAGGTCTGGAGATGATGTGCAGCAACGGAGGGATCGAGCTCGCGCTGACATCCATCACATTCCGTCGGACACTGGCAGATCGGCATGCCATGGAGATAGCAGTCGAGCATCTGAGCATAGCGGTGCGGGAAGGCCTTGAGGGGGTAGTAGCTCGAGACTCGCATCGGAGAGTGGCTCAGGTCTCGCTCAGGAAAATGAGCGAAGATGGTAGACTGCAAGACCCTATCCTGCGACTTGAGCGAGTGTGTCCTGCGGCTGTGCAAGGTGAGGATATCACGCTGCTGATCGGTCAGCGCAGCGCGAGCATGCACATGGCGAGGGAAGACGCGCATGACAAGAGGGGTCACATTTCGCTGCGCAGGGGGAGGAATGAAGTGCTCATGAGACGAGTCGACGAGAGCGCGCAAACCAGGGATGTGTACCACAGATGCCGGGGGGCGTCCTGCGTCATCAGGCACAGCAGCCGGGGCAGGTGGGATCGCCGCGCCATCTGCAGCCGGTGCAGGAGCCTTGACACGACGGTAGAGGATCGCTCCAGCATTATGAACGAAGTCGTGCGCCTCAACGAAGAAGGTCGCCAGAGGATGCTTCTGGGCACGGAGAGATCTCGAGCAGTGAACGTCCAGGCTATGAGGAGAGGGCAAGGTCCGGGACATGGGCTGGTCAGAGTACCAAGCGAGGAAGCGAGCGATAGCCGTATAGTAAACAGCGGGGTGTAGACCCTCAGAGGGCGTGAACTCGTCCCCTCCCCGACTATGCGGAAGCTCCCGCTTGAACCTCGCAAACTCTAGCAGGTCGGGATGCGCGGCGAGGTACTGCGAGGAAGGCCAGCGGTGGTATTTCTCAAGCGCCAGGTGGACAGAGAGGTCAAAGCGACGAATCTGTGATTGGACCCGCGGGAGAAACGGAGATGACCCCTGGAGGAAGAAGCGCAGCTTCTGGAGATGTTAATTACTGCAATGCTATCGAGGTAGATCATCGGGGTTGGCTCGCCCTCACCAGCGTCTTGAACATGAAGCCATGCTGGACGAGCCCGAGCTTTGAGAGCTCTTCGTTGAGGGTAGAGACCTTCGCTCGGAGCTGACTAGCATGAAATCCATCCGTGCCGATAGGCAGGCCGCCAAGTGTAATCCCGCCAGTGACGACCTCGAAGTGAAGAAGTTGAGTCTTGAGACGGCGCTTAAGGCTCTTCTTCAGCTGCGAGAGATCAGGGTGTTGATGCCAGGAGGGGATGTAAACTTTCGACTCGCGAGGTTGAATCTCTAGCTTCAGATCAGCCACCAGGTATATAGGATTTACTGGCAGAAGATAAAAAGTGCCTCAAGCAAAACAAAGCAGGAACAAGCTGAACCGGCAGGGCCACCATGTACTTCTTCATAGCGGACGTAGCTGCAACGGCATCCTCGAGTGGACCGACAAGCACGACGTTGTCAGCATAGGCCAAGACTCGAACTTCGGAACAGAGGGAAAAAGCTCTGCGATATGGAGGAGCAGGGGGTGGATACTGTGGCAGAAAAACACGCTGGAGGGGACATCGCCCTGACAGACGCCCGAGGTACACTGAACGGAGGCTGACTGACTTTTGTGAAAGAGTCGAAGGTCAGCAGAGTCTCCATAGTAGCTGGAGAGGTAGGAGGCGAACAAACGGAGATGCTCGCAAGAGGGCAAGCTTGCGCCTTCAGTGATGCTCCCATCAAAGTAGTCGCGACTCGCACGTCCCTCGATTGCATCGAAGAGAGCCTGGCGGTCGAGGGAGTTGAAGGCGTTCTCAGTTTGCATCCAAACTCACCAGCACTGTGGGGTTGGCAACATCCTCATCATCACCGCGAGCGTGAAGGGGCAGGAGCGCTGACGCGGTTTGCGAGAACTTCAGACAGCCGTCTCGATCGAGCCCGAACTGAATCGCTCGAGGGTGAGACGAGAGGAAGTGCTGGTCAAGAAATGAGCGAATCGCTGCCAAAGCAAGCTTCGTCGCGAGTCGACGGTGTGCAGAACCGATGACAATTGGCCGGAGACCAGGTTTATCAGCTCCCTTGGAGAGGGGAATAAATCTGCCTCCTCGGCCAGTAAATCCCCGGCTTGTGTTCCTTCTGCATGCTCCTGCTGCTTGTTGCTTGATTGCTTGACCCTTCGGCTGCTTGTCTGCGCGGCTTCGCGCTTGGGCTGGCGATGCCGGGTCTGCTGACAGTTGCCAGCAGCGCTGGTTCTTTTCGGGCTTGTGTTTTGTGTGCGCTGTGTGCCAGGAGGTTTAGCTTGATCCTGCTTTGTTTTGCTTGAGGCACTTTTTACCTTCTGCCAGTAAATCGGACTTACCAGCAACTGTCCTCAGACCCGTCACCGCCAGCCGCACGGTGCGCGCGAAGCCGCGCAGACAAGCAGGGAGTAGTGGATTTACTGGCAGGGAGGGCCAAACAACAGTCGCTAGGAGCCTCGGAGGTTTGGCTCGACTGACTGACAGTGGTCAGTCGGATGCCTCCGTGTATCGCGTCTAAGGGGTTTTATCTCGGACGTCCCCTCAGGCGGACCCCCGGGCAACGCCGGCTCCTTGTCGGCGTCTGCCCCAGTGCCCTTTCTCGGAGACGCCTGGCCAGCTCACTGTCCGCGCCGGTCGTCGGCGCCACTCAGGCTGGATGTTTCCCCCATCGGAGTCGGAGACCTCCGGCGAAGACTCCTCCTCGGTCGAGACAAAGGATTTACTGGCAGAAGGTAAAAAGTGCCTCAAGCAAAACAAAGCAGGAACAAGCTAAACCTCCAGGCACACAGCGCAGTAAGATGGATTTACTGGCAGAAGCCTGTAAAAGTGCCTCAAGCAAAACAAAGCAGGAACAAGCTAAACCTCCTGGCAGGCTTTTTACCTTCTGCCAGTACATTCATTGTCTGTCTGGCAGGAAGGACAATGGATTTACTGGCAGAAGGTAAAAACGAGGTAGTCCTCCTCGCTAGCCTCCGAGTCAGCGGTAGCCGAGTCAGCGGTAGCCGAGTCAGCGGTAGCCGCCCGTGACGGCGGCGACGCCGCAGCAATGCCCAAGGACCGGTGTGAACGGCCCGGAAAAGTGCCTCAAGCAAAACAAAGCAGGAACAAGCAGAAGGTAAAAAGTGCCTCAAACTCTGCCTCAAGCAGAACACTGCCGACAAGCAGCTATAGAGTAGAGGAGTCATAGGATTTATTCGCCGGAGGTCTCCGACTCCGATGGGGGAAACATCCAGACGGTGGCGCCGACGATCGGCGCGGAGCTGGCGAAGCGTCTCCGTCCCTCACTGTCGGACGTCGGGTGCCTCCGGAGAGCTCGACACCACTGGGGTGCTTGCTGCTGGTCCGAGCTCGCCTGCTTCCTCCCCGGCATCGGTCGTTTCACGCCGGTCCTTGAGCATTGCTGCGGCGTCGCCGCCGTCACGGGCGGCTACCGCTGACTCGGCTACCGCTGACTCCCTCCGTCCGCTGCCCCAGGCGGACCCCCGGCGGCAGCGCCGGCTCCGACCTTGTCGGCGGCTGCCCTTTCTCCGTCCGCGGCCATCTCGACCGACGGTACTCTGCATCCGATCCTGACACCCAGGGCCAGTTTCCCCTGGTATCTGGCGGACATCATTGCTCACTGGCACTCGATGGTCTCGGATCCGCGCGCGGCTCGCCTGCTTCAGTTGCTCCCCCCAGGCTGACTGGGTCCGATCCTTGGGCATTGCTCCAAGCGACCGTCAGTGTTGCTTGGCCCTTTCTGCTTGTTGCTTGGCCCTTCCGGCCTGCACGGCGGCGCTTGCGGCGGCAGGCTCAGGGCCAGCCGGGCTCAGCTGGAGTGACTCGGGCCCAGTATAGTACGGTCCGATCACGGGTTCCGAACTGTTCCGACAGTCAATGGTCCGATCAACCGGGGGTGGCCCGCACCCCGCGGCTGCGTGCCCGGCTGACTGTCACAGTGTCATGGTGTCACACTCAGCCTGGCAGCCCCCATGATGCCGCACTGAGTGCAGTGCCATGATTGAATACTCGAGCCCCGGCCCGCCGGGCCGGCGGCCCGATCCGAGACCCCGGGCCCCGCGGCGCCGGGAAGGTAGCCTGCCCGAATTGACGGTTGCGACGAGTACCGTCTCCGATCTCTTTCATAGATACCAGGCTCAGCGGGTCACCGGGTGGCCCGGAACTTCCGAGTTCGGAACTTCGTGAACTTGAAGCCTGACTCTGACGTTGGTCACACAGAAGGCTTCTATTTAGCTTTCCAAGACTTTGGCCGGCACACTATATACTTTCTTTAAACTCTGAAGGTTTTCTGTCATTTTTATTGTTCACCACATAATTGGACCACCCCCGGGGGCGAAGGGGGGTTCGATGACCTTTCAACCTCACAAGTCCGCCTCAGAGTGAAAAACACTTAGAACAATTTCGTTTGAGAGTCTTGCTGCATCCTTCAACTCTCATCTTCTTCAACAAGATTATATTGCAGTGCTATGAATCTTTTTCTTTATTACATGGATGATCAACGATTTAAAAATGCATTGAGATCACTTTTCTTCCATTGTCGCATTTTTCTAACATAAGTTGTCCATTTCAATTGTCCTTGTCTCCTCGTACGTGCCTTCGACTTAGAACTCACCAATTTGAAAAAGCCTTTGTCATATGTTTTGAACCAATGTTGAGCTTCAGCCAGTGTTGGCCTTGCTACAAAACTTCTCCACCGTTCAAGTTCTGCATCACTCTGTTCTCTGATTCCATGATTTCCCTCCTCACGAACCTTTCAAAAATTTCGACAAGAACGGTCAAGTCGCTAAATCTCCTTCCTTCTTCTTTGGTTTCCATATGCGCTCTGCTCAATTCCTTCAAAGCAGGATGTTTCTTCACAGTGTCACCAAAATGCCATGCAATCCATGCGTTCTCCCACGTTCCAAAATGTTTGGTGACGTTGAAACCCGGTGACACGTTTGCATCTTTCCAAGTTGAAATTCCCATGTCATGTGCAGAATGTTCATCCTCACTTGCGGAGCCATCCCGCCCCGTCATCGTATCTTCATTTGCCTGTTGATGCTCAGGAGATCTGGTAAAATTATTTGTCATACCCCGCCCCATCATGTTGTCGATCTTTTTATCCATCCTATCGAAGGCCTTCATTATCTGGCGATGGCGAACATCGTCCCCCATCATCGCGGCAGCTCGCTCACTGCCACTGCCACTGCCACTGCCACTGCCACTGCCACTGCCACTGCCACTGCCACTGTCACTGCCACTGTCACTGTCGCCACTGTCAATTCCTTGCAACTCACTTTCCTCTTCTATATCGCTGTGAGTTTGACGGCGACGTTTGGTAGCACGAACATTTCCGTCAATCTTCCTGAGGCGTTTCTTCATTTTGCTTATTTCCTCCTTGAGTCGTCTGACCTCCTGTGCAATCATCTTGTAATGCAAGTTCTGCATGACATGAGGGGGGCAACCAGTACTTCTCATTTCGATGCCCGGGTCACCAGGCAACCCACACTTCACTCGACGCTTCAATTCATCCAGCATCCCTTCTGTTCGAACCAATGCACAGCTCCACATCAGGTGATGCTCGTCTAATCGAGTCTTCAAATAGTCCCAATGATAAACCAAGCTCGCGAGAGCATGTTCTGCTACACCTCGAAATTCCTGCCTGATGTGTGGGAAGCACGATTGAACTGCGTCGCTGACATAACTGTCTTGCTGAGGACCAAAGTGAGGTGGAAGGATAGCAAATTCTTCAGAATCGATGCGCAATCCTGCCGCTGTCCTTCCAACAAAAGCATCCCCTGCGAGCATATAACTCATTTCAAATGTCACTAACTTAGCAAAATTCTACCTGCTGCCTCGAACTTGAAGTATCGATCATAAACCCCTCCATTTGCCCACCCAGCTGTTCCTGTAAGTGCCACTACAGGTGAGCATTGGGTACTTCCACTTGCACAGAAGGTGGCAGCGCCCTATACCGGAAGTAAGCTCGAGTCACTATTCACCACAAACTTGGCTTATTCACCTTCCTTACAGAATGTGTTCCTATCTCATCAGCTTTGATCCCCAGCCTTTCCATTTCTATACACACTCTCCTCCGGCACGATAACAAATCCGTTGAGCTCCTGGCTGCCTCCGACTCTTCACCGTCGCCTTGTGCTGGTACCGACATAGTTCGGTGGAAAGACATCAGAAATCTATGATACTGATTCGTACCTGTGCATATGTGAGACTGATCCCCATTGAATGAACCATTTCAAAATACCAGGAAATAGCTTGTCGTTATCACCAACCTGGTCTTGGAACCTTGGGATAAAATCCTGTTCTTTACATCCGCAGTTACCTTCCTCCAATTTTGACTGCTTGCAGGGGCATCGTTCAAACTTGCAGAATCAGATCTATCACTCCCAGCATCGGAGAGTGCTGGACTCTCTCCGATAGGAACTGCTGGAACAGCACCAGCATCTGCATTGTGTCTTTCTTCAAGCTCCTTCTCTCTTCCAGACGCGAGTGGCAGTTCGCATCCACACCAACTCCAATCTTCATAACCATTGATTTGGTTAGCGCAAAGGTGATGAAAGTATTTCGAGCAAGCCGTGCACTGGATGAGAGTACTATCTCCTAATTCTGCCGGAGGTATCTTGCATTCTGTTCCAAACAAGCAAACATGGCTCGACGATGACATGCCAGGAAGGATGCGATGCGGCTGGCGGCTTGTCAGGGTATCCCGGAGGAGGGTGGGGTCCCCCCCAGTAATATTGCTGATCAGTAGTGTTTCTCAAAAAGGCCGGCGCCCCTGATTGATGACTCAAACATGTACCCACCCCAATCTTTTCGGAGAATAGCCAGGAATATTAAGGGGTGATTTTGCCGGATAAATTCATCTAATGGAACGATTAAAATTGATAGGGTACCCACCACCCCTTCAATACCCAAGGATTATCTATACATGACCCCTCACACTGACCATAATTAAGAGACTAGAATTATTCAAAACACTTTGCCGGCGCCGGCGGTTGCCCCGGCATTGCGCCGGTTAAAGTTATGGAATTTAACTTGTAAGGTCGATAAAGAATCGCTTTACTCAAAAGTTCAGTTAAACTTACTTTGCTCAAAGTTAAGTCATCAGTCACGAGGCTCTATAAATACTATTTAAATAATAATCGGGGATGCTTTTCTTTTGAAGAACACAATCGAAGGATGCTCCACATTGAAAGTAGAGACGAGCATTAATCATTATTTCAAACTTTCACTCACAATTTCATGAAATAGTTTAAACTTTTCTCAACTTAAAGATTTAACCAGATGCCGAGGCGGGTCCTCCTGCTCCTGCTCCTGCTCCTGCTCCAGCTCCCTCTCCCTCTCCCTCTCTCTCTCTCCCTCTCCCTCTCCCTCTCTCTCTCCCTCTACCTCTACCTCTACCTCTACCTCTACCTCTCCCTCTCCCTCTCCCTCTCCCTCTACCTCTACCTCTACCTCTACCTCTACCTCTCCCTCTCCCTCTCCCTCCCCCCTCTCCCCTCTCTCCTGCTCCTGCTCCTGCTCCTGCACCTGCACCTGCACCTGCACCTGCACCTGCACCTGCACCTGCACCACCGCCATTACCACCACCATTGCAGTCAACAACAACTTGGACCTTACCGCCTACTGCATACGCATGCACAAAGTATTGAGTCAGTCACAAACTCAAAAGTTCTGAACTGAGTTAGTGTGTTGGGCCAGCTCTGTTCAGTTGTCAAAAACAACCGAACACATTCAAATGTGTCTCACTGACCCCTAACCTATTTACTGACGCTTCGATGTGCTTGGCAGGAGCATGAAGAGGATCCGGATGGCCTGTAAGGCCTGCAAGGACTCGAGGCTAAAATGTGACATTTTCCAACCTTGCACGCGGTGAGCAAGAGCACACCATAAAAAGTCACTCCTGCACCGTGGCACCCTCCTGTTCTTCGTTTCCTTCGTGATCAATTTTCTTGTATCTCTCCCGATGTAATCGTTTGTCAGTTTTCATCCTGCAATTTTCGCTGTCAAAACTCTACATCTCTTGCCCACTGATGTGATGTTTCATCATCAGATGTACCCGGCTGCACATGGAAGCAAGCTGTATCAGAGTGCAGGAGGAGAAGGTCTTGAGGCTTAGAGGCTCCAACTCTTGTACAGTTTGCAAGAAGGCGAAGGCAAAGTGCGACGAAGCTCGTCCTTGCTCTCGCTGCAAGCGCCTGAAGCGAGATTCTGCATGTACGTATGACGAGCTGCGGCTGATGCGGGTGAACACGTTGGACAACGAGGAGGGCCTTGAGGTGGAGGAGTGCGACGACGAGTCAGAGTCAACATCTCCGAGCATGAATGTGCTGCACTCACGGCAGGGTGAACGAGGTGGAGGAGCAGAAGAAGAGGCTATGCAAGTATGGATGAAACCACATGCGGGAGCTGTAGACCCACATGGTTGGCAGAATGTGGAGATAGAAAAGCCGCTTGACTTCTGGATCCGAAGCCTGTCCTTCGACAAGCCGTCGCTGCTGCGGGACCACATGAACTCCATGGGCTGGCCAGATCGAGTGCTGGCGAGGCACTGGGAGTTCGGCTTCAGCTCGCAGGAGCTGATGAACATCTTCGTCTCGCTTCCTGGGCATCTGCAGCAGGTGACCCGACGGGCACTGCACGCGATCGAGATCCTCGTGGCGGACCTGGTAGAGAAGCAAGGTCGAGGGCTGCAGCGGCAGCTGCTGATGGAGAGCGAGACAGTGTCGGAGCAAGATCTGGAGCTTGAGCGAGCGTTCTACAGGGATCAGAGCTTCGGGACGGTCAAGCAGCATCTGCATCCGTCTACGGGGAAGCGAGCGCACGTGTACATATCGGATACTCTGTGCAAGATCGTCGGACTGCACGCGGAGGAGGTACTGGCGAGGATCGCGAACAGGGAGCTGTCACTGGTCACGACGGAGTTTGAGTACTTCTGCTACGTGATGTTCGGGACGTGGTTGTACGCGACGAGCCCAGGACAGCCCCTGGTTCTCCCCATTCGTGTGCGAAACCTGGGAGACAAACATGGTGATACGAGCTGCTTGTTGGCGAAGTTTGTGCAGCAACAGGAGTTCGACTGTCATGGGCGGGTGAAGGCGATGAAGTCATACGTGCTTCCAGTGAGTGCGTGGAGAGATGAGGCGAAAGAGAGGGGGGGGGATCGGAGGGAGGAAAGATAATCATCAATGATGTCTTGCAATGCGACAGAGACAGAGTTGAATGCGGAGAAAGGAACAGGGAGGGGGAGGGGAGAGGAGGGGTAGAGTGTCTACAAGTTGTAGCAGTGAGGGAGAGGAAAGGTAAAATTGGGCAACAAAAGGAACAAAAGGGAGAGTTGGGGAGATGAGAGACAAGCGATGAATTGGGATGGATGCAGACGAAAAGGATCAGAAATGGATGAACGAAAGAAACTTGAGATGAGGTGGGAGGGAGTAGATGGAAGGGGCTGACGGGAGAGAATGCCGCAGGTGGACAAGGACAGCTTCATTGCCTCCAAAGAGCCCGCGGGCAGTCCCTCGGCCTTGTTCGAGAAGCACATGTGCGGGGGAAGAGACTACGATACATTGCTGAACGACTTCGAGGCGGACATGTTTGCGGTGAGGAGGCAGAGAGTGAGTCAGAGGGAGAGGGGAGGGACTGACAGGGAGGGGGCAGGGGGCGACGATCTTGGGGATGCAGAAGTCGAAGCAAGGGATGCAGCGACTGGAGGCGCTGGGAAGGGATTTGGAGCGGATGTTCCAGCCATTGGTGGAGCATGCGGAGAAGATCCTAGAAGAGAAGGCGCGAGCGAGGTCGTGACGTGCCCGCAACAGTCTGAGAAGACACTCCAAGGCTCCAGGCACGGTCATCCGACTCTTGAAGGCACTGCACGGCCCGGAGAGGCTCCGTGACTCACTGACTCAGGGCCCATCCGGCCCGGGAGGCTTCTTCAACTTCTTCACCATCCGGCGGACTCCGGCGGAAGGTGCCAGCGGTTTGGGCCCTCCTTCCGAGAAATAGACTCGTCAGGCATAAAGCGTAAGATAAAGGAGCATCGGAGACGTACGGGTGAACTGCCGCTAGCTGACTCTTGTTGCCTCATCAAGCGACTCGACGGATGGACCAGAAAGACAGAGAGACGAACCCTCATACTCTACCAGCATCGCTGTGCTGTCCTACCACATTGGCCGGCGAACCAAATCCACTGAGTGAGACGCGCCCACGGTTTCTCAGGCCTACAGGCGGCCCGGCGAGTCGCCCGGGAAGTCGATCACGGCGCCGGCCCGGCCAGTCACTCACCGTGGCACCTGACCCCCGGCCCGGCAGAGCGGCCCCCGAGTGCCGCGGCCCGGCCAGCCTGCTCGTACGGTCCGATCAGTGGGACCAAGCGACACCAGACCGCCCAGGTAGTCAAAATGGATGGAGACAGCGAGGGGAGGGGAGAGGAGGGGAGGGGAGAGGGGGGGGAGGGGAGGGGAGGGGAGGGGAGGGGAGGTTTGGGGAGGGGAGAGTTGAGGGTAGGAGAAGAGGCGAGAGGAGGGGAGAGGGAGGGAGGGGAGGGCGAGGAGGAGAGGAGAGGAGAGGAGAGGAGAGGAGAGGAGAGGAGAGGAGTGGAGGGGACAATTCGATTGAGGTATGAAGAGTTGTTGTAAATGTTGGAATTAGCATGTACAGGGGTGAAGAAAGTGGCCCTACGCAGGGCTTTCACCTACCAATTCAAGTCTTACTGTTGCAGATACAATGGACACAGAATCACAAGGGTTCGAGGTGCTTACAGTCGCGACTCCAAAAGATGGGCATGTGCAGGATGGCATCAATGGGGTGCAAGTGGGAGAAGCAAGGAATTGCGCGAGGAGCTTTTTTGCTTGGAGGTGCAAGGGATGCATGGCCGATGTCGGTTGTGATGTGCATGGGCTACCGGCAACTGGTGATGCTGCTTTGATGGGATGCTTGAATCCCCTATGCGGAGACAAGTAAGGGAGGATGAGGGGAGACAAGTCTGAGAGCACTGCCAGGGGGGAGGCGATCAGAGTGAGTTTCAAGGATGAGGAGGAGCTCAAGGTAAGCCATCCTGCTGTGGCTGCAGTGACGGGACGACACAGATCTTCTTGGAGTCGCAAGAGACAAGTGACTCCTGCTCCTGCTGGCCTGCCTTGACCTCCTTCGCAGAAGATTCAAACCTTCACACTCTTCGACGATCCTCCTACAGTTGGAGCAGGTCGCTTCGCCGCCATCTCAAACGTCACGACAAACTTCACGTGGCGAGGAGGCGGAGGGTCGGACGCGAGGGAGTGTGGGAATGGAGGGTCAGCGACGACGCGATGCCTCCGCCGGTAGGCCTAGCGAGTCATGCGAGCTCGTGCTGATGCGAGACCTGCAGTCACTGTACGCGATCGTCTACCGCCCAGAGGAGACGCCAGTGCTGTTGCCTCACAATCCTCTCCAGCAGCTTCCCAGCGGCTGCTCCACCTCAAGGAACTTCCTCATGTCCGCTTTGGTTCCTTTGGCTGCCCTCGACTAAGAGATGCCTCAGCTGGTCGCGAGCGCAAGGCAAGCCAGACGACGTGAGAAGACGATGCGAGATGATGGGAAACTTGTGCTGAGCTTCTATCAGCTCCTGGGCGAGGTTTCCATCCCTGGGGATCTCTCTCCCCATGAGGTCAAGCTCCTTATCTCGACTGTGAGATCCTCGTCGTTGCCTGCTGCGACTGATATGGGAGCAGGAACTTGCTGTCCGCGGTGACTTTCTCCTCGAGGTGGAAGATGGCACCCAGGTTGACACCTGCGGTTCAACCTTGTTCAATCCGGTGATTTTGCTTCCTCTCATGACTCTCCTCCAAGACTTGTGCTGCCGGCTCTCTGATGTGCATTCGTCAGAATGTTCGCAGAGGCGAAGACTCGCTCTACTTGGTGAAGTTGAGGCCTAACACGCCCGCAGGGAGGTCGCAGACACAGACAGGGTGAGAGCAGGAGGAGGGAGATGAGGGTTGACTGAACGCAGAGGGTCGCGAGATGGAGCCAAGAAGGCTAAGAGACCCAACGACAAGTCGGAAAGGCTGAGATCTGCTGCGACACCTTCAGAGTGAGGACTGACTTGCGAGCTTGACGGACTTGTAAAAGGCTGGCAGAGCAACTTCCATGACATCACATGACCGGATCAAGTTGCAGAGCAAGCTGATGGCGAGAACGATGAGCGGAAGCGCGGCATCATAGCAGTTAGCAAACTTTATTGCATGTCAACACTTGAAACGCAACAAGCGCGGGAAAACCGCCTCAGAGCAGCCACGTGAAGAGATCCTCGAGAAGAGGAATCGAAACAATACCCCCTAGTAAGCTCCCTTGAAGGACTCGTCGAACACCCTGACACCAGCGTTACCTCCCTCACGCCCTCCCATCTCTCACCTCATGGACTGAGCCAGGCTCTTGCTGCCACTAGCAGCGCCCCACTTGGACTTCTTCTGACCCAGCTGAGGACGCGAGGTGAGAGGAGGGGAAGGAGAGGAACATGCTTACAGCGCTGGACGTGAAGCCGGAGTTGTATGACTCCTGGTGCGCGTTGACCGCGGGAGAGTGGCTTGGATCAAACACGTTGAATCCGAAAAACATCCTGCAACTAATCAGACACTATCACTTAGACATTGAAACGTAGACGTTGATGGACTGCTCTCTGCACTTCTCTGAAGGCAAGCTCTTCGAACTATCAAGAACCCAACTACAAAACTTTGTTTCCCTCTGACAACATGCAGATCTAAAGAAAAAAATGAATCTGTAATATCCTTCAAGCTTGCTCAGGCCATTTTGCGTTTGTGCGATTGCCGGGAGAGTCAGTCTTAAGAGCAAACTGATCTCACTTCGAAACGTCTAGAAATATTTCATCTCTCCTCACGCTAAACTCGAGTCACACATGTAAGCCAACAATCAGAAGGAAGAGGAGCTCGTATCAGTAGTTAACCCCAACACTCCTGCCCTTCCGCCTAATCAAAGTTTTCAACATACATCCAGCCTGCACTGATAAACAAAGTCTAACCCCCAAATTCTCGTTGCCGTTCCATCTATCCAACTCTCTACGCACGATATCCTCTTATCATGCAGCCCTATTGTCCTGCACTGTCACATCAACCGTGCGTGTTCTCAATTCACATCCCATCCATCATCATCGTTCTCAATTCACATCCCATCCATCATCATCGTTCTCGCGCTTCGTCATTTTCCTGCATCTTCTAAGAGGCGCGAGTGTCTCTTCGAATTACATGATGACCCCACCCCTTCTCCACACTCCTACCCACCCATGCCCAATCCCCTTTCAGTACCCCTACATCATCCTTTTGAAATTCCTATACCACCCCCGGTGGTCCACCCCCGTGGAAGTGGTACTAACATGTGCACTGTTGAGTAAAACTTCTAGTCAAAATCAGATCGAAGGCAGCACCCGGCCACTTTTCATTTTTTAAACACCTTCGTTTACTCAACAGAGTTGAGTAAACAAATTTGAGTGAAAACTTTCAAATAACAAAAGTTTGAAGTGTTTTTGGAAAGCTCAAAGGCTTTACTGGTATCTTCATTTGGGGTTTAGGGTGGTCCTGTTGGTTCCAACGGTCGAAGCACAATGTGGACTGCAAGTTGGACGAGGGACGGGAAGTGAGGGAGGGAGAAGAAGGCAAGCATACGAAGAGCTCGTAGGAGATACACTACTGCACTTAGTTGAGCAGGCGTTGCTTCTAGTCAGAGACATTTGAATTCTCCTCAAGTTCAACTCAACAAGCCGTTGCGATGGGCTGCTTTAGCTCTTGCTTGCGTGGAAAGAAGTCAGCGAAAGGTACTGTCATCGAGCCTGAAGAGGCTCCTCCTCCTCCTCCTCCTCCTCCTCAAAGCGAGACTCCTCCTTCTCCTGCACACGAGGCATGGACAGTACAAGATGGGGCAAGGTAGGGCGTGAAAGCCGCTCGGCCAACACAGATGACTGAGGGTGCAGATACGATGGCGCGTTCAAGGCAGGGAGAAGACATGGATATGGCAAGTTCACCTGGGCTAATGGTGACACGTATGAGGGCGACTGGCTTGATGTATCTTACTACACTGTCTGCTGGATAACCCCTGACGAGGCTTGCTCCCAGGATGTTCAGGAAGGAATAGGAAAGTTTTGCACTCCCCAAGGCGATAAGTGCGTCACGTGTGTGCTCTCTCGTCTCTAACATGATGATAAGATACGAGGGAGGCTTCAGACACAACGTGAAACATGGCAAAGGGAAGCAGATGTGGGCCAACGGAGATTCTTACGAGGTATTGTTTGCTTATTTTGTCGGGCAGTCTCAAGTTCGTTTGTTTGCGCAGGGTGACTGGGCTCATGGACTTCAGCACGGGCAAGGAACATTCACGTAGAGATATCCATCGTCTGGTTCCCGGTAACACCTTGATCAGGTGGGGTGAAAACTCTGGCATGAACGCCAGCAACGTCTACACCGGCGACTGGAAGGAAGGAGTCCGTGAGGGGCGTGGCACACTGACGTGGGCAAACGGAAGCACCTACACGGGATCATGGAAGAACGACCATAGGCACGGTGAGAAGAGAGTGCAGGAGGTCAGGATAGTGTAGGAGAAGGAGTCAGACTTGAACATGTTCCAAGAAATAGCTGAGGCTCTCGTTGCGAATGACAAGCTTGGTAGGTCATGGATTGCTAGTCTTGGCAAACGGCGACAAGTACGAGGGAATGTTCGACAACGACAAGAAGCACGGAGTAAGAGAGCCCCCTGTCTCTCCCGTGTCTTGCCTCCCTCATCTTCTGGTTCAGCATGGCAGGTTTCAGTGGGGGGATGGCCCCTGGAAGGGACACGCATATGACGGCGAGTGGGTTTCAGATGTGATGGAGGTGAGAGCAATGGTAAGATTTCATAAATTAACGTCTGAATTATCACAGGGGAAAGGATCATATATCACATCTATGCGTAAGTGACACATATATACAAGGTTGGATGAGGTTTGGAATTGCATCTGAGCAATCAGCTCTTAGCTTGCAGTCGAAGTGACGTCATTTCCATCGCCTGAAACATAACATCAAAAAATAACATGGATAGACATGACAATGGTATAAAGAGGGCGTGTAAATGATCTTGCCTTGTAATCGTTTCCATAAGCTCGCCTCCTTCTCCCTCAGCTGTACTTTCTCTCGTCGAAGTAGAATCTCCTTTTCCCTCCAGTAGTCTCTCTCACTTGCATCCGTAGCAGATGATACCCGGCTTTCTGCGTCTTGGATCGCTTCTTGAATGATCGCGATGTCAGCCTGGCAGCGCATCACGTACTCCCTGATGTTGGCACACTCGGAGCAGAGGAACTTCTTGGGCTTCTTCGAGCTTCCATTCTGATTGCCATCCAGCGCCTCCTGCAAGTGTGTCAGTGCCAGGAAGCGACACATGGGGCTGTGCGGCACCTGCGACATGTCGTTGAGGTTGTCCATGGGCATCCCTTTGGTCCGCCTCGGAAACCCCTGGATGATCGCCTCCTTGATGTCCGCTGGTATCTGCGTGCATTGCCGACAGAAATGCTCGACCCAACGAGTCGTCGGAAAGACTGCCGCCCACCGCACGCCTCCTTCACTGTTTCCTTCACAGAAAGCACATTTGTGGCCGGCCTTGACTTCGAACGAGCCGTCAGGCTTCTGCACTTTGGTGCTGATCTCCACCACATGAGACTTCATGTCGAGTATCGAGGACCTTCCGCCCTTTCCTTTCTTGGGCGATCCCGGATGCATGTCGGAGGAGCATCGCTTCGCAGCTGGCTTCGGCAGGAGGACGTTGGGGTGCTTCATGATGACTGAGTCCTTCACCTCCGACGGGATCTCCGTGCACTGCTTCGCGAAATGTTCGATCCATCGCGAGGCAGGAAAGATAGAGGCCCATCGCTCCCCGCCAGGGCTGTTCCCCTGGCAGAAGACACACTTGTGCCCCTGCTTCACGATCTCACTCCCGTCCGAGGCTCGCACCATCTTGGAGATCGGAATGACGTGGGCTCGAATGTCTGTGTCGGGTCGTCGTCCTGACTTCCCTGGAGTCACAAACACACCGTTGGGGTTGCTCTCGGTGTTCATCACAGCGACTGACGATGGGAGTGCTACCGGGCTGTTCGCTCCTGACATCGACAACGCCTCAGGTGTGCTGATGTGAGGCCTGTGCAAGTGAAAGAAATTCCTCGTCACGAACAGAAACAGCACAAGGGTTTTTTTGCTATCTCAGTCCTTTGAGTCACACCTGTTGCCTCTCTTGCTCTCTTCCAACAATCTTCTTTCTTCTACCACCATCCATGGTCCTCGTTTTCCTGCTCCTGCTCCTGCTTGCTTATTCTCTCCCTGTCTGTCTGTCTGTCTGTCTGTCTGTCTGTCTGTCTGTCTGTCTGTCTGTCTCTGACTCTGATTCTGATTCTGTCTCTTACTCCTACTCTGTCTCTGACTCTTCTCTTCGCATTCCCAACTTTGCTTCAGTTCACCGTCCATAGCGCCATTCTGTTCCAAGGTACCCCCTACTGTTGTCACCCCCCAAGCATATACTCACTGATCCCACCCCTGAAAATCTGGAAGTTTCCCTGGGACATCCCTCCCCCCCCCTCCACCTCTCATATTTCTCTATTACCTTCAAGATTTTGAAGCCTATCTAGGCCTCCTGACCCTTTGTTTCTACCCACCCACTTTGCTCATTAGTACCCCACCCTGTCGATCAGCAAAACCATTTGAACCGAAGTGATTTGAATCGATCTCAACCTCCGTCAGTACACCCACCCACCCTCTCATCTAGCCTTGACCACCCGTCATCAATCTGTCGAACGCCCCCACCCCTCCTTTTCAACTGTGTATCCACCCCCACACCTACCCCCAGGTTTCTATTGAATCTTACCTTCACCCTACCCTACCCTACCCTACCCTACCCTACCCTACCCTACCCTACCCTTTTTGCACGTCTATGTTCTTTCTACCTCCACCCTACCTCTACTGCTAACACCCACTCACATTATCACCCCACCCTTACCACCACCCTACCTCCCTACCCCCTAATAGACCCACCTTGCTCCTCTCCCTTCGCAGGATCAGCATCATCAGTTCCTCCTCCCTCCCCTCCCCTCCCCTTCCTCTTCTCCCTCTTCCTTCCTCTCTCTCTCTCTCTCCCCTTCCCTTCCCTTCTCCCCCTCTCCCTCGTCGCCCCCTTTTCTTCACTGCATTATTCGGCTTCATCTCCCACTTTCTTCCGCTGTTCTTTTGTCCCCTTCCCATCTGTAGCCTGAAACTTCGGTCCTGAATCGAAAAGTCTCTTACTGCTTCCTTTACAATGACTGCTTCAGCCGTTTTCGTGTTGGACGTCAAAGGTAAAGTCATCATAAGTCGCAACTACCGCGGAGATGTTCCTCTGAATGCCATAGAGCGCTTCTCGCACCTGATGCTTGACGAGGTAGAAGGCTCATCTCCGCCCATCATAGTGGACAAGGGCGTCTCTTTCGCATACGTCAAGTACAACAACCTCTACCTCGTGGCCTGCACCACCAGAAACTCCAACGCCACCACTCTCTTCCTCTTTCTCTACCACATCATCAATGTCTTCAAAGAATATTTCCGAGAGCTCGAGGAGGAGAGCATCAGGGACAACTTTGTAGTCATCTACGAGCTTCTAGACGAGATGATGGACTGGGGTTACCCGCAGATTACAGATCAAAAGATTCTGAGCGAGTATATCATGCAGGAGAGCCACAAGATACAGGGGGTAGCGAAGCCGCCGCCTGCGGTCACTGGGGTGGTCTCATGGAGGAGCGAGGGGATCAAGTACAGGAAGAACGAGATCTTTCTGGATGTCGTCGAGTCCGTGAACCTCCTCGTCGGTTCCAATGGCAACGTCCTGCGATCTGAAATTCTCGGCGCCTTGAAGATGAGGTCTTACCTCAGGTGCTCGCAGTTGCTGATGCGCCGCTCCTGCCGTCTGACTTGTCCTGCTAGTGGTATGCCGGAGTTAAAGCTCGGACTCAACGACAAGCTCCTCTTCGAATCCACCGGGCGGAATCCTGGGAAGGGGAAGGTAAGCGTGACATGTCAAGTCGTGATCGTCACTGGTGGTGGCAAGGCTGTTGAGATGGAGGACATCAAGTTTCATCAGTGTGTGAGGCTGGCTCGGTTCGAGAACGACAGGTCTCCCCTGCTTGAATGCTGCTTGATGCTTTCTCGTGAAACCATCCTCATCGATGCCTTACAGGACCATCTCCTTCATCCCCCCCGACGGTGAGTTCGAGCTCATGTCTTATCGTCTCTCGACACAGGTATGAGCGACTACGTGGAGGGAGAGGACACCTCAGCCGTTACCAGGTCAGGCCGCTCATCTGGATTGAAGCGATTGTCGAGCCTCATAGCGGAAGCCGAATAGAATACACGATCAAAGCCAAATCACAGGTACGAGACTCCTACAGTGACTTGTGTTTTAACTCTGCTGTTCTTGTCTTCGCCATGTAGTTCAAGCAAAGGTCTGTTGCAAGCAATGTGGAGATTTCGATTCCTGTTCCTCCGGATGCAGACTCTCCTTCATTCAAGGTCTGATGTCTCCATCCCGTCCTTCCTGTCGTCTCATTCGCTTCTAGGCTGGGACTGGAACGGCCAAGTATGCACCTGAGAAGGACGCTATCGTCTGGACCATCAAGCAGGTCCATTCTCAATCTCGGAGACGTCGATCTGAGTTGCTGCCTCATCAGTTTCCTGGTCAGAAAGAGTTTTTGCTGCGCGCTCACTTTGGTCTGCCGTCTGTTCAGCAAGATGGTATCTGCTGTCTCTGTGTGTCCCGTCTGATCCTCCTTGCCCTCAGGCCAACTGCAAAAGAAGCCCATCTCCGTCAAGTTCGAGATCCCTTACTTCACTGTGTCTGGGATCCAGGTGACCCTGAGCTGAAGGCTTGGTTGCTCGCTCATGCCTGCTTTAGGTGCGATACCTCAAGATCATGGAGAAGAGCGGTTACCAGGTACTGCTGCTTCTTCCTGACTGATCTTGTTCTTGTTTCTCCTTGTTCTTGTTTCTCCTTGTTCTTTCTAGCCCCGTTCGTAATGTCGTTCTGTTCTGAGCAGGCACTGCCGTGGGTTCGTTACATCACGCAGAATGGGGACTATCAGCTCCGAATGAACTGAAAGTGAAAGAATGAAATGATGATGAGATCTGAGTTGTACATCGCTCCCGCCCATCGTCCGACTCAGTCAGCCGGTCCCATCATCCGGCGAGGCTCACTGTCAGTCGCCACCGGTTAGCCTGGTTTACTTGTTCAGCTTAAAGCTTTTAGAGAAACGAAATATTGTAAGCTAACGTTCTTAAAAGCAAATGTTTGAAAATTGAAGGGGTGGAGGTACCAACCCCCCATGTTGATTTCATATGAAAATATGAGTCGATGAGGTGGTAGGGGTACCTAAATACCCAGAGCTGTAGGGTAGTTGTTGATAAAGCAGAGGGGGCAGTTGAATGGCGGCAGTAGCGTCGTGAAGACGGAGGGAGCGAAGCGATGGCAAGAGCAGCGAGGAGACGAGGGGATTGGAGTGAAGATGATTATAGATGTGGGGAGGGGATAGCAGGGGAGGAGACGCGAGGAGCTGGGAGGTGAGAGTAGGAGGGGGACTGGCAGGATAAGAGGGGGGAGGAGTTGTAGGCATGCAGCAGGAAAGTGGGAGGGAGGAAGGGAGGAGAGTTGATGCACTGTTTAAAGTAGCAAGCCGATGAAGTACGTCACATAACCTATATACAATGATGTTAGATGCGGTCAAGAAGGAAGAAGAGTGGGAAGTAGAAACTGGGGAGGCATGGCGGAAGAGCCAATGAAGGCCAAGGATGTCCAAGGACGGAATAAAGTCTGAGAACGCAAAGAACAGGAGGATCAGGAGTAGGAAGAGAAGTAGGAGGCAGGAGGCAGGCATGAGAAGTGAAGAGCAGAAAATTCAGAGAGAGGGAGGAGTACACGGGACGACATCACGATGCATGCCTTGTCAGTAAACGAATGTAGATCTGATCGTCGTGCACATTTGTTCTTGTGCTCGTCCGACGTGGTTATGCTTGCCTGACGTTTGTTTCAGTGTTGCCTTGCCGCCATGGCGACCGACGTCAAGTCCTCAGGGTCATCCAAGGAGCTGTTCAAAATCCCGGGCAGTCAGCTGGGGGAAGGAAAGGCATTGTTCGCATGGCAACCCGACGGGAACTACCTGGCGGTGGTGGGGACCAGCAGGCGAGTTGAGATCTACGACAGGTACGGGCAGGTGCTGGACGATGTGGTGCTGACAGCCGGAGGGAACGTGCTGTGTCTGGACTGGGACAAGGATGGAGAAATGCTTGCGATCCTTCAGAGCGGAAACTCAGCGATCATCTGCTGGGACTCCACGAGTCGCAAGTCAAATTTTGTGGAGACGAACATGAAGGACCTGCTGTGGCTCAAGTGGAGCAAGGTGTCGTTCGACCTGGCGCTGGGATCAGGCAAAGGCAACTTGATCATCTACAACAAGCGGACGTCGAAGCTGAACCCCCTCCTCGGCAAACACAGCAAGCGAATCTTTGACGGCGCCTGGAGTGTCGAGAACCAGCTGGTGCTGCTGTCCGAGGATAAGACCTTCTCCGTGAACTCCAACACTGGGCAGGCGATCAGGCAGGACGTGCTGCGAGGAGAGCCGTCGGAGATTCACCTGGGGCAAGGGATGAGCGCCAAGGATGACAGCAACACGTCAGTGAGCATCCTGATCGCTAAGAAGATTGTGTTCATCTGCTCCCTGCAGAAGGACGTGCGGCAGTCGTTTGACTTCTCCTTCCCTCTCAAGTACGGCGACGTCCTCGTGCATCGCTGGTACTACGACGGCGCTTTTATCGTCGGCTTCTCCTCTGGGATGGTCCTGGCCAAGGAGCCCAACGCTAAGGACTCGATGCTCTTCACCTCGCAGATGTTTCAGGTCGGCGTCTCCTGTATTGATGTCTCGCCCTCCATGCAGCGCGCGGCGATCTGCGGGGGGAACCACGTGAAGTTCATCGACCTCAAGGAGTGGAAGGAGATCCCCGGGGACTCGCTGCAGTTCAGCGTCTTTTGCGACCAGGTCGCGTGGACCCCCGACGGGAACTTCCTGACCGTCTCATTGTCTGACGGCACCGTCGTCAACTTCCTCGCCAGCATGCCGGTCTTGAACGCGGCGCATGGCTCGACCTACGCGTACATGAGCAGCCTGAGAGAGATCAAGGTGGAGGACGCGCTAGACGAGAGTGGGAGGAAGAGCGCGAGGATCGAGATCAAAAACGAGCCCGACTTGGTGGCGGTTGGGAAGCGACATGTGGCGCTGGGCAAGAACAACATCAGCTGGATCTACTCGTGCGACAAGCAGGGGCAGCTGGTGCGGGAGGTGGACTACCTCGCGAGCGTGGAGGCCATGAGCTTGAATCGCGACATGATCGCTGTGCTCTACGACGGTCAGGTGAACCTGCAGAAAATCGTCGGAGACGATGACGGGAAGTTCACGAGGAGCTTCCCGGAGTCAAGCGAGGAGGCACAAGTGACGTGCATGCAGCTGACGGAAGACTTTCTGATCTACTCGACGAGTCAAGGAACAGTCGTCTACTTCTCCCTCGAGGATCAGACTCGCTCCAGTGACTTCCGTCACTCGCAGGGCATCAAGTTCTTCGCCTCCAATAAGCTCGGAACGCGGCTTGTGGTGGTCGACTCCTCCCTCAAGGGCTTCATCCATAACCCCGTCGACTCCTCCATGCTCGAGATCCCGGACTTCCCGGCGAAGACCAGCCAGGTGCTGTGGGACGTGAAGGAGGAGGGCGTGTTCGTGGCGGTGACAGAGACTAGCATCGTGACCTACAAGCTCTTCCTCGCAACTCTCAAGGGCCCCAGGGTCGACAAGGTCGGGCAGACTGACTCGCCGCGTCACTTGTCTCCCATGATTCTCATCGACGGGGTGCTGACGCATCAGACCCACATGGGCTCCATCGCTCGTCTCGTCCTCGACTCTCACAGCAGCCTCAACCCCGACAACCTCCTCGCCTCCTCCTCCTCCAAGTTCGCTCAGTCCCTCGCCCTCGGTCGCTTGACCGATGCCTTCCAGCACGCCATCACCCTCGGGGAGCGCAGCAAGTGGGACGAGCTGTACCTGGCCGCCCTCCAGCTGTTCCAGACCAAGGTCGCGTTCAACGTCAGCCGCTACCTCGAAGACTGCGCCAACGTGATGGCGCTGGAGCAGCTGTCGCAGCACGAGGACAAGCACCTGCTGGCAGGGGAGATCGCGCTGCTGGTCAACGACGACTCTCTCGCGCAGGAGCTCTTCCTCGCCTCCTCCAACCCCATCCTCGCCCTCGACATGCGCTCTGACCTCCGCCAGTGGGACCGCGCTTTGAGACTCGCTGAGACCCTCGCGCCCTCGCGCATCCCGCACATCTGCTTGCAGTTCGCGGAGCAGCTGCAGACGCAGGGGGAGTACGAGGCAGCGCATGCGAGGTACGAGCAGGCGAGGCAGGAGAGGTTCGCGGTGGGAGGACGCGATGTGGAGGTGCGGCTGACGGAGGAGCACAAGATGGCGTGCAAGGTGGGCATAGCAAAGATGGAGCTGCGGATGGGGAACGTGGCCAAAGGCGTGCAGCTGGCGATGGAGTGCGGGGAGAGCGTGTGCGCAGACTGCGCGAAGATCCTGGCCGACATGAAGCAGCAGGCGGAGGCGGCGCTGCTGTATGAGAAGGGGAAGATGTACGAGCGGGCAGTGTCGCTCTACATCAACATCAAAGACTTCAAGGCAGCGCAGGCGCTCATGCCGCTGGTTCAGACGCCCAAGCTGCACGTGCGGTTCGGGCAGGCGAAGGAGAAGCAGGGGCAGTTCAAGGAGGCGGCAGACGCGTACGAGCGGGGCAAGGAGATGGACGAGGTGGTACGGCTGTGCCTGCAGCAGCTGCAGCAGCCCCAGCGAGCCTTCTCGATCGTCCGCGAGACGAGGACGACGCGAGGAGCGATGGAGTGCGCCAACTACTGCCAGGCGTCTGCCGACTACCGCGGGGCCCTCGAGTTCCTGCTGATCGCCAAGGAGAAGGACAAGGCGTTCGAGCTGGCTCAATCTCACGACCTCATGGACGCGCTCGCGCTCTTCCTCGGGTCCTCGGGGTCGCGGGGGGAGTACCTGACGATGGCGAGGTACTACCAGAGCAAGCAGCAGCTGGAGGCCGCGGGCGACTTCTTCGACAAGGCCGGGGACCACAAGGAGGCGCTGCGGGTGTACCTGCAGGTGGGGGAGAAGGCGCTAGACAAGGCGATCGGGGTGGTGGGAGCAGCGAGGAACGAGGTGCTGACCCACACGCTCATCGACTACCTCATGGGCGAGCACGACCGCATCCCCAAGGACCCCAACTACATCTTCCGCCTCTACATGGCCCTCGGCTCCTACCGGCAGGCTGCTCGCACCGCCGTCATCATCGCACGGCAGGAGCAGGAGCTGGGCAACTACAAGGTCGCACACAAGATGCTCTTCGACACGTACAAGGATCTGCAGGGGCAGGGGATCCCCGTGCCGCGAGAGCTGCAGGACTCGCTGCTGCTGCTGCACAGCTACGTCCTCGTCAAGGTGCTCGTGAAGCAGGGGGACCACGAGGGCGGCGCTCGCATGCTCGTGCGCGTGTCCAACTCGATCTCCAAGTTCCCCGCACACATCGTGCCCATCCTGACCTCGACGGTGATCGAGTGTCAGCGGGGCGGGCTCAAGAAGACCTCGTTCGAGTTCGCGTCCATGCTGATGCGCCCCGAGTATCGCTCGCAGGTCGCCGACGCCTACAGGAAGAAGATCGAGACCATCGTGCGGAAGCCCTCCAAGGGGGAGGAGGAGGAACCCGTCTCTCCCTGCCCTTACTGCGCCTTCCCCTCCTCCTCTACCGCCCTCGAGTGCCCCCAGTGCAGGAACAGGCTCCCCTACTGCATCCTCTCGGGGGTCAAGATGGTCGCCTCCGACTGGTCCTTCTGCCCCTCCTGCAGCTTTCCTGCCCTTCACAGTCGCCTCCTCCGCCACCTGCAAAGCGACACCTCCTGCCCCATGTGCGAGAACGAGATCGACGCCGCTGCTGTCGTCAAGGTCGAGAACCCGGAGCAGCATCTCAAGGCCCTGCAGCACAAGGAAGAGGAGGAGGAGGAGAAGGCGGGAGACAAGCAGCCGCAGCAGGACTGAAGGAGAGGAGGACAAGGCAAGAGCAGACGCTGATGGTTCTAAGACTATGACCCATCTAAGACTTTTGATTCCTAAAATTACAACATGCTCGTCCAACCAACCAACCTTGCTCCTCACTTCTCATTTCTTCTTGCATGGCTTCTGCTTCATCTATGCCTTCTTCGGATGGATCATTGCTGTCTTCACCTTTAACTGCCCCTGCCCCCTTGTCAGCCTCTGCCCTCCCCTCCATCTTCCTCTCACCTGCTGTTTGCCCTTCAACACCAGCGGGCAAAGCTGTTGACACATGTCAGCCCCCCGCACCCCCCTCCGTCTCGTCTCCTCCTCCTCCTCCTCCATCCTCACCCTTCGGATCCCCATGTTCTTGCCATGATCATACGACAACTCAGCTCGCTCGAAACCCGCATATCCCTGCAGCCGTGTCACCCCCGTCAGCTCCACCTCCCACCTCTCACCATCAAGACCGTTGAAGCAGCAAGCACTGCCGAGAGGATCGCGACCACGAACCTCCAAGAAAATTAGACGAGGAAGAGGAGGGGGATGGGGAGGCGAAGGAGGAGGGGGAGGAGGGAGGAGGAGGGAGGAGGCTACCATGTTTTCTTATACTTCTTCACAAAGAAGCTCACGACTGTGTTCCCGATGGCTCCGCCCAGCAGCCCGATGCCGCAGAAGAAGAGAGCGTAGTCGATCTGCCAGCACTCAGAGCAGCAGACCGGAGAAGGCAGGAGGAAACCGATGAGGGGGGAGGAGGGGAGAGGGAGGGAGGACAAGGGAGGAAAGGGAGGGGGGGAGGAACGAGAGGGAGGGAGGGAGGGAGAGAGAGAGAGAGAGAAAGAGTTTGAGCACCTGCAGCTGTCCCATGATGAGGAACTGGAAGGTGGTGGAGGAGGCTGTGAAGATGACCATGAAGCCTGACGACGCCGTGCCCACTAGCGGCAGCATCCCCAGCTCGAGCAAGATCGGCCCCAGGATGGTTCCAGCAGCGATGCCGAGGGCGCCAGCAGCGAAACCGGCGGAGATGCAGTAGAGGGGGTAGACGGAAGCGTTCTTGCGCGTCCAGTGGATGTCTCCCTCAGCAAACTCGTACCCCAGTCTCAGCTTGTCCTCGTACCCTCGCACCAGAATGTCCCCGCAGTACATCACCAGCCCCAGCACCATCGGCAGCGGCGCTGCCACAAGCAGCCAGTACCCCAGGGAGCCGCACGCGACGATCCCCTGTCCTCCCTCGCCTCCCTTGAGGATGGAGCAGACAGCGATGATGATCCAGGAGATGGTCAGGACCTGAGGAGCAGATTCAGACGGGGGGGGAGGGGAGAGGAGGAGGAGGAGGAGGAGGAGGAGGTGGTGGTGGTGGTGGAGGAGGAGGAGGAGGAGGAGGAGGAGGAGGAGGAGGTGGTGGTGGTGGTGGTGGTGGTGGAGGAGGAGGAGTCTGCCTACGCTTACTCACCCCGATGGATTTGAAGTTGACTCGCGACTCAGCCTCGTAGATTTCTCGAAGGTCCTCTGGGATGTTCGCGTCAAGCATGAAGGAGGGGTGTTGCTCCGGCCCGGCCTTGGAGCCAAGCAGGTGTTTGGTCTCCTCCTCCTTCACCGCCTTCTCCTCCTTGTTGTAGGTCTCGAGGGCCTTCACGCTGGTGCGGTAGGTCGTGTAAGTCAAGCTCAGCACAAGGAGGATGGTGATGAGCCAGCCGGGGGAGACGGCGTTGAAGAAGACGCCGATGATGGTGCCGAGGAGGAGGACCGGCTCGAGCATCATGCACGTGTTGTAGTCCACCAGCGGGCGGTTGGCGTAGGGGTGACGTCGCTGCACGTTGTAGTAGTTGTTGGTCACGGCGCCGCCGAAGATGGTGGCCTTGGAGAGAGGGATGCCGTAGTGGGGGGAGAACTTGCCGATGGAGAGGTACATTGGGACGAGGATCCCTCCACCTCCGACTCCCGCGGGGGCTGCAAGCATGATGGTGACGAGGGTGATGAGGCAGATGAGGACGTCAGAGTGATCGAAGGGATGGAACAGAGGCTTGTGCTTGCACATCGGCACCCCCGCCACGCTCGAGTTCTGGCACTGATTCTTGGAGTTCGTCTGCTGACACTCGGCGTCATTCGAGCAGATCGCACACGTTCCTGCCCGGCACACCAGCCCCGTCTGGCAGCTCCAAGGATGCACGCAAGCCTTGCCCAGCGGTGCTGACAGCAGCGAACGCCCAGCCCCATGCCGGTCCGTCATTAGCATCTCAGAGTCGTGAAGAGAAGACAACGTCCCTGCCTCCTCGTACGTCACCTCCTCCCCAAGGATGGTCGGAAGCCGCATGTATGCTCGCATGCTCCCGTCCACCAACCCCAAGAGAGCCACCAGCAGCATGGCAGTCAGCGGCGTCACGGTCTTGTCCAGCATACTCCTCCTCTTCCTTTCCCGGTCAACAACATCCAGGTTCACTTCAGCGTTTGGGTTGGACATGATGAGAAGATCCTGACATAAAAGTTTCAAAGAGCGAACAACAGATAACAACACATGTCTTGCACACTGTTCTGGTCCTTCAGTCACCATTCTATCTCGATCCCTTCACCATCCGTCTTAACCCAACGATTTGACTCGCATGCTTCGTCGCTTCCCACATCTTTCATCTGCTCTCACTAATATTCCTCCTGCTCCTCCTCATCCTCCTCCTCCCGCAGCTCGTCAACGAGAGCTTGAAGTCAGAGATCCCGACGATCCGCAAGCATACAATCCTCCTCCTCCTCCTCCTCCTCCTCCCCTCCTCCTCCTCCTCCTCCCCCTCCTCCTCCTCCTCCTCCTCCTCCTCTTTCTCCTCCTCTACTGATGACATGGCGGCTAAATCCAGGAAATTTCCCCCACTACCACCCACCCCCCTTGGCTCAAAACCCCCATTTCCTTCACCCCATGGAGGACCTCCGCAGCAAAAGTACCCCTACTTTTACCCACTTTGGTACCGGACATATTGATCCCCCACCCCATCCCACCCCAATGGTACCCCAAACTACCCCACCCCATCTTCGGAGCTCTCATTTTTGCTCAACGGTACC